GTTGATGTTTTGACGTAGGGTCCGAGTCCTCTGGATCACGTTCGTTCTGAAAATCACGTTCCCGAAGGTTTCATTCCGTTTGAACTCCGTTTGATATTCTTTTTCTGCGAAACCCTAAAATAGGCAAAAAAAAAAGCAATTTTGGGCCGGACCTCAGGTTAATAGGTTAGTCCCAAAAATAATATAAAAGTGTATAATAAATCCCAATAATGTCCAAAACAGAATATAATATAGTATGGAACAATCAAAAATTATAGATACGTTGGAGACGTATCAGTAATGAAAACCTTCATTGTTGAGGTGGGGAAGGAAGATGTTTTTAGTCACTGACTAGCTACTTGATCGTGGATTGCAACGGAGGAATACATATTCTATTGGTTTGACATCATTATGCAAGTCCAATCATGTCCGACATAAATCTCACACCCATCATATTGTAGATTTTGGTAAGATTTTATTTGACTCGAGTATAGGTAGGGAAATGCAATGATTTTATTATTACTTTAGTAAAGGTTTTAATAAAATTTGATTTCATTGAGTTAATGCAGGATGCGGGCGAGAGGAGATCGATGGGAGGAAGAGTTGGACGTACTATCCACAACTCCCTTTAACAGTAGAGATCAAGCACTATAGCTACATGTCAGCTGACTGAGTTTTATTTTTTGGGTTAGTCGATTCTTTTACCGTTGATTGCTGCTTTTAAGATGTGTGCTAGTTGTTTTTTTCCTGTTGAGTGTGTTGTCCTGTATTGGGCTGGCTTTTTTGATTGACCCCTATTTTGGGTCAGTTGATCTCTTGTTGGGCTGAAGCTTGTTATGTGTTTTCTTATTAGGCTGTTTTTGTGCGTTTTTGCTTCTGTTTTTTTGTTGGGTTTTGTGGGTATATTTTGGATGTTGGGTGAATATAAAATATATACACATAAGTAATGTATAATATGTGTATAAATTGTAATTCTATGAAAGATGCTCTATTATGTGCTTATTTCTTACATACTATTAAAATAGTGTAGTTTCAACATATTTGTATTTTCTGTGAAAATTCCACTACCATATGCATATTCTTGCATATTATTGAAAGCACATTTTTTTGTATAAATTGTGTGTATTTTTTGTTATTTTACTATTTTATAATTTATTTCTTCTTAAAGGGTAATATCAATGTAACTACCTCATTCTTACTTACAAAACTTTATTTCCTTAAAAAACTTCATTATTTTGTAGTGTTTGTTGCATTTTATTTCTTTTTTAATGATAATACCAACGTCACTAATTCATTCCTTCTTAAATTTTTTTTTGTGAGAATTATACTATTATATACTTATTCATACATATTGTAAAAAGTGCAATTTCTGCATAAATTGTGTGCAAATTTCTCAATTTTTTATTTTTTTTGTTTCGTTTCTCCTTAAAGGGTAAGACCAATGTCATTAATTCATTCTTTCTTAATAAAACTCAATTATCTTAATTTTGATTTAGTTTTATTTTATTTTCTTTCTTCCTAAAGGGTATTACTAAGGCCTCTAATTCGTTCTTTCTTAGAAAAACTTCACAATCTTATTTTTCATTTAGTTTTACTTTTATTTTATTTCTTATTTAATTGTAACACAAGTGTCACTAATTCATTCTTTCTTAGGAAATTACCTTTACTATGAATATTTCACTATTATATGCTTATTCTTGCATATCAGAACAAAGCATAATTTATGTGTAAATTATGTGAAAATTTTGCCATTATTTGTTTTTTTATTTTCTTTCTTCCTAAAGTGTAATAGAAATGTCATTAATTATTTTTTAGAAAACTCATTGTTTTTTTGCTTTTCGTTAAATTTACTTTCTTCTTTAAGTGTAATGTGCATGTCATTCAATCCTTCCATCTTAGAAAACATTTTCTATGAAAATTCCACTATTGTATGCTTACTCTTTCATTTTGTAGAAAATGTAATTTTTATGTTAATTGTGTGTCATTATTTCATCTGCATTTTTCTTCTGTCTTTAAGGTTAATACTAATGCCACTAATACATTGTTTCTTAGAAAAAAATATTTTTATTTTGTGATTCTGCTTTAGTAGTTAACTCTTTTTGGGTAATACCAAAACCACGAGTTTATTCTTTATTATAAACCTTAATTATTTAGTTTTTGTTTCATTTTACTTTTTCTTTATTGGTAATGCCAATCTCACTAATTCATTCCTTATTAGGGAACTTTCTTTCTAGTGAGAATGCTACTATTATATAGTTTTCTTGCATATTACAAAAATTGCAATTTCTATGTAAATTAAGTGCAAATTTCTCATTTTTTCCTTTCTTCTTAAATGGTAATACCAATGCCACAAATTCATTCTTCCCTAGAAAACTTCTTTATTTTGTTTTTGATTTAGGTTTTATTTTAGTTTATTTCTTCTTAAAGGGTAATACCAAAGCCTCTAATTCATTCTTCCGTTGAAAACTTCATTATTTTATTTTCGTTTAGTTTTTTATTTTATTTCTTATTTAATTGTAGCTCAAGTGCCACTAATTCATCATTTCTTAGGAAATTTCCTTTATTGCGAACGTTTCACTATTATATGCTTATTCTTGCATATTAGAAAAGGTGTAAATTGTGTGCAATTTTTGTCATTTGTTTTTTATTTTCTTTCTTCTTAAAGTGTTATAGCAATGTCATTAACTCTTTTTTAGAAAACTTCAATGTCTTTATTTTCTTCTACTTTTTTTAATTTACTTTTTTTTCTTTAAGGGTAATGCATATGTCATTTGTTCATTCCACCTTAAAAACTTTTTTTTATGAAAAATCCAATATTGTATGTTTATTCTTGCATATTATATTTTTCACTATTATATGCTTATTCTTGCATATTAGAAAAAAACATAATTTATGTGTAAGTTGTTTGATTTTGTACTCCCTCCTTTCCGGTTTATAGGGCTTATCTCAAAATTTTAGTTTTTCCATTTTATAAGGCTCAATTTGGTTGTTCCCCATCACATGTTCAGACTTCAAGGTGCAAAGAAAACAAGAGCATTAATTGGGTGCTTTTGCAAACTACAAAAAATATTCCACCACTCATCATCTACCTTGGTTGGTGAGATTTTTGAATTGAGCCTTATAAACCGGAAAGGAGAGAGTAGGTTATGTCTAGTAATTATGTCTAGTATTTAGATGTCTTGTGTGAGGATTACTGGACATAAATGAATTACAATTATGGGTTTAAATACCCTCTTCTCTTTCTTCTTTGATATGTATGTATGTGTGCATATATGTATTTAAAAAAAATGTATTCTATGTATGTATGTAAAAATAAATATATGTGTGTGAGAGTGCACATATAGTCGCTAACAGTTGCATGCAAACACACCAGGGTACCATTTGGATAATGACTGCGACGGGTGTTTTGCATGTGATGAATTAACTTAATTAAATGCTAATGACCAATGCTTAATTAACCAAATATTGCATGTGTCCCACCCATGGGATCGAGGAAGAGGATAAGGTAGGTGGGGGTGAGTGAGAGTCCGTTCAAGGAGGAGATTGTGCAGTTGTGTGCGTGCTTGCATGCATCGCAGGGGAGTGGACAACTGGCTGGCTCCAGTTCTGCGTACACTGGTGATGCAGGTTTGCTCTCGAGACCGATCCATCCACCGGGCTCTGACGCTCCGTTCGAGCAGAGAGCAGATCGACTGCAACAAATTTGTGGTCCGTCGATTGACCCAAATTATATTTTCAGTCAATTGATCTCTAGCTAGTTCCCAGATAAAGCTGGTCTTATGTGACAATCCATTTTAAAGGCTATATTTATATTGACTCCAATTTTGTGCGTTATCTGGACAGCCTTCAAGTGCACATCGAGCATTCATATGTATTAGGGCACGTACAATGGTTGATAAGATAATCTTATCTTAAATTTTGCATCTAAATTAAAGATGACAAACAAACATGTCTACAATGGATCATCTCTTAGCCTTATTTTTAATAATTAGTTGTTCCTAAAAACATGATGAGACAAATTATGCTAAGAGATCATCTCTTGTCTTCTCTTAAGTAAGATAAGACAAGCCTTCTTTTATGATTTCTCTCTCCTCTACCTCATTATTTATCTATGTGGCACGCTTAAGATAGAACTATTGTACATGCCCTTACTACTGCAACGACTCTGCCAGAGAGTTGCTCTGAGCTGGTTAAACCGATCAAAACCAGAAACCAGTTCCGGTAACGAACAAAGCTCGATCGGTTAACGTCAATTCGGTTGATTCCAAGCTCGATTGGTCAACGTCAATTCGGTTGATTCCAAGTTTATTTCTTCACCCGATGATTTTTGCTTCGAACCATAATTAAAGCCAGGACCAACGAAGGGAAGACGCGTTGTCGTACTGCACACTCCATCGATGTCAACGAGGAAAATACCGTATAAAATCGTAACGCCCGTTTCTTGTGGCAACGAGTACATCACAACTCACAAGGCCACGGAAATGGACAGGGAACGACTCGATCCATTCGAGAAAAATGCTTGCGTCAAACTTTTGAAAAAAGATCAATAATGCTAAACATACAAAGGGTCACACGCAATTACACTTGTTTGTAAAATCCATGTAAATCAATGTATGTATAGCATTACTTGGAAAGGACCAACGCACAGATAATGTCTATAAAATTGGAATACAATTTCTTACACGCTATGCTGACCAATTGGAAAATTAGCCCGGGCTGAATCAAGCGGAACTAGCTAAGAGCATCCCAGCAATGACCGGGAAATACAGGGCAAGATTTGTGTGACGAGGTTCCGTAAAAAAATGTTTTTTGGCGCAAAAAGAAAAGATTTATGTGGTTGCATGTGTTGACCAGCCTCGCATATATAACATGCTGCTGCGTACGCTTGTTCTCAGTTGTCATCATATCCATGTTCCTGGCAGCAGTCTAGCTCAGTACCGTACAGCCTGCACTTGTCATCTTCGCTTGCGCCATGGGGTTCGTGTACCGAATCGCGAGCCCGTCGGAGTACCTGGCCATCACCGGGTACGGCGTGGACGACGTGAAGCTGGCGAAGAAGGCGTGGATCGCGCCGGGGCAGCGGTGCGCGCGCTTCGACATCTCCCCGGTGAACTACACCTTCGAGGTGCAGGCGATGAGCGCCGAGAAGCTCCCCTTCGTGCTCCCCGCCGTCTTCACCATCGGCCCGCGCGCGGACGACGTCGAGTCCCTGCTCCGCTACGCCAAGCTCATCTCCCCGCACGACAAGCTCTCCCGCCACGTCAACGAGCTGGTCAAGGGCGTGATCGAGGGCGAGACGCGCGTGCTGGCGGCGTCCATGACCATGGAGCAGATCTTCCACGGCACCAAGTCGTTCAAGCAGGCCGTGTTCGAGAGCGTGCAGCTGGAGCTCAACCAGTTCGGCCTCGTCATCTACAACGCCAACGTGAAGCAGCTGGTGGACGTGCCGGGGCACGAGTACTTCTCCTACCTCGGCCAGAAGACGCAGCAGGAGGCCGTCAACCAGGCCAAGGTGGACGTGGCCGAGGCGCGCATGAAGGGCGAGGTCGGCGCCAAGGAGCGGGAGGGGATGACGCGCCAGAACGCCGCCAAGGTGGACGCCGAGACCAAGGTGTACACGGTGAAGCGCCAGGGGGAGGGCTCCAAGGAGGAGGCCAGGGTGACGGCGGAGGTGAGGGTGTTCAGGAACGAGAGGGACGCCGAGGTGGCGCAGGCCGACGCGGAGCTGGCCATGAAGAAGGCCGGGTGGGAGCAGCAGGCGAGGGTGGCGGAGGTGGAGGCGGCCAAGGCCGTGGCCATACGGGACGCGCAGCTGCAGGTGGAGGTGGAGCGCACCAACGCCGCCAGGCAGACGGAGAAGCTCAAGGCCGAGCACCTCAGCAAGGCCGTCGTGGACTACGAGATGAAGGTGCAGCAGGCCAACTGGGAGCTCTACAACCGGCAGAAGGCGGCCGAGGCGCTGCTGTTCGAGCAGGAGAGGCAGGCGGAGGCGCGCCGCGCGACTGCGGACGCGGAGTTCTTCGCGCGGCAGCGGGAGGCCGAGGCCGAGCTCTACGCCAAGCGCAAGGAGGCCGAGGGGCTGGCGGCCATGGGAGAGGCCCAGAGCGTGTACCTGTCCTCCATGCTCGGCGCGCTCGGCGGCAGCTACGGCGCGCTCCGTGACTACCTCATGATCAGCTCAGGCGTGTATCAGGAGATGGCGCGCATCAACGCCGACGCCATCAAGGGGCTCGAGCCCAAGATCAGCGTGTGGAGCAACGGCTCTGCTTCCGAGGGTGGTGACGGCGCCATGAAGGAGATGGCCGGGGTGTACAGGATGTTGCCGCCGTTGCTAACGACGGTGCACGAGCAGACTGGGATGCTACCGCCGGCGTGGATGGGCACTCTCAAGGGGGGCACCTCCACGTCCACCTGAGCTTGCCACGAAGCTTCAAGTACGTGCAGTCGCGCACCTTATATATGCCAGTGTGATTGTGAATGCGTGTGAGATACGTCAACATAAGGGTGTTTTATTTACTTCGGATAACATGTACTATATCTCTCATCTAAATGATTTGCTGGTGAATAAACCAAAAATGTGTCTACCTCTCATCTAAATGAAAAATAGCTATGATCGCAAAAAAAAAAAGAAATAACTATGTCTCATCTTCCACAACAAAAAAGAACTCCCTCATCTAAAGCGTTTTATATTTATTTATAGAGGGAGTACATCGTTCACCCGCAAAAAAAAATATATCGTTGAATTTTACGCAGATATTTGTTGGGATTTTTTCCTTTTATTTTTGTGTTTTTCTAACATAGTACGGACACAGACGCTTGCACATACACTCATCTCTATGAACGGTATGCATACCCTATCCCTGTGAGCACCTTCGAGAGACTGAGCCGGCACATCATCTTATGATTGACAAAGCGTCACAGAAACTTTGTAGTCGATGGAAACGTGTCCTCCCACTGAACGCACATCACAGAAAGGCCAGAAATAAATTCAGAAAAATGCGAGCATAAGTGTCAAGTTTAGGACTTAAACCATGATAGGCTGACGATACAACTGTCCTTCTAAAAGTCCAATCGCAGGTTGGTTTGCCTTTTATTTTTGTGTCTGATTAATCAAATAGTGTAGGAGTTAGATGGATCCTCAAAAAAAAAAGCAAATCCATTTTTCTTTTCTGTCCCGTCGTAACGCTCGCGAAATTCGCTCGTTATATTAATATATAATTAAAATGATTGCTTTGAGATTTGTAATTATTTTGGCCATGTTAGTTTTGAGCATTGTGCGCGTGATTCGAATCGCGTGGCTCATGAGCTGGCTAGAAGGGCTAGGGTTGATCCTTCGGGTGTGTGGACGGACAATCCTCTCTCTTTTATCCGTAGCCTTATTTTGGATGATTTTTCATTATTTGAGATGAAATAAAACTAGCCATGATGGCATTTCCTAAAAAAAAAGAAAAAAAGGAAGGATGAAAAATAAAAGAAAACGGGCTGACTCTTCCCTACGAGTCGGGCAGCTACCATAGTCCCTATCCCGAGGCCTGTTATTTCCTGGCTGAGCCCATAGTCTGGCTGATACTCAAGAGTCGGCCACCAACCTCGATAGATAGAACGGCAGTTGCTAAAAAAAAAAAAGAAGATAGATATGGCTGGGCGAGCGGCACCGCCCTGTTCGCCGGACCCTCCTGCTGGCGACGATCATCAACCAGGTGCGTCTCTACCGTTCCCTGCCCTGCCCTCCCCGCTGTGCAAAACCGAGCACCCAAACCCTAATTCAAGCTATTTTGTACTTCGATTTTCTGCAAAAAAAAAAGTCATCGGATGTCTGGGGCTTCAACCAAAATTGCTATGGGAACCTTCGATGGGGACCTCAACCAAAAACTTTCAAAGTTAGCGTTTTGCCGCGTTGCCGTAGATAGAGTGCCGCCTGTGGCCTTGACACCTGTTCTCCGATCTGGAGTTCTGAACCTTGTGTAGTTGTGTGGCTTTGCCGGTTTCTCGGCTAATGAAAATTCAGATTCAGGTGGCCTTAATGCCCCCCGGCGTGTATCAGGAGATGGCGCGCATCAACGCCGACGCCATCAAGGGGCTCGAGCCCAAGATCAGCGTGTGGAGCAATGGTTGTGCTTCCGAGGGTGGTGACGGCGCGATGAAGGAGATGGCCGGGGTGTACAAGAAGTTGCCGCCGTTGCTAACGACGGTGCACGAGCAGACTGGGATGCTATCGCCGGCGTGGATGGGCACTCTCAAGGGGGGCATCTCCACGTCCACCTGAGCTTGCCACGAAGCTTCAAGTACGTGCACTCGTGCACCATATATATGCCAGTGTGATTGTGAATGCGCGTGAGATACGTACATGCATAAGGGCATTTTATTTACTTCGGAAAACATGTACTACTGTTTGATTTGCTCATGAATAAACCAAGGATGTGTCTACCTCTCATCTAAATGAAAACTAACTATAATCGTAAAAAAAGAGAAAATTAACTATGTCTCATCTAACTTCCTCATCTTCCATAACAACAAAAAAATTCCCTCATCTAATTTTTTTTATATTTGTATATAGAGGGAGTACATCGTTGATTTTTACGCAGATATTTGTTGGGATTTTTTTCCTTTTATTTTTGTGTTTTTCTAACATAGTACAGACGTAGATGCTTGCACATACACCCATCTCTATGAACGGCACGCACACCCTACCCTAGAATCTTCGAGAGGTTGAGTCGGCATCATCTTGTGGTTGACAAAGCGCCACAGAAACCTTCATAGTCGACGGAAACGTCTCTTCCCACTGAACGCACATCGCTGAAAGGTCTGAAATAAATTCAGAAAAATGCGAGCATATGTGTCAAGTTTAGGACTCGAACCATGATGGACTGACGATACCATTGTCCTTCTAAAAATCCAATCCGAGGTTGGTTTGCCTTTTGTTTTTTGTGTCTTGATTAATAAAATAGTGTAGGAGTTAGATGAGACGGAATTAGCAAATCCGTTTTTCTTTTATGTCCAGTTGTAATGCACACAATATTAGCTAGTTATATTAATATAACTAGTAATAATGTACGTGCAATGCACGTTTATATTAGGTAAGATATATCTGTTGCACGTTGGTATTTGGTAAGATATCAATTACTTTTTCGCGAGAATGATAGGATATTAATTATATGACAGATTTCATGGGATAGTGTTGAGTCAAAATGTGTTTATAACCAATGGCAGTGGTGGGTAATTAGAGCGTTAAACGTGTTTGGTGCTCCACATTGCAGCGATTCAACCGCTAGATAATATGATTTGACGGTCGTGATGGTTTGGATCTGCCCCTTTGGGTCTTTTTATATTGGTATAGATAAAATGTAAAAAAGAAAGAATAAAAATAAAAGAAAACGAGCTGATTCTTCGGGAGCAACTAGTTAACGAGTGCTCCTTCGGGAGCCTCACAATGGTCAGCGCCACTTGGCGCGCTCTCAGCCATTCGCCACGTGTCGCTCTCTGAACGCTCCCTTCGGATTTTGCTTTTTTATTTTTCCACACGTGTTTTCGGCTTTTTAAATGGTTTTTTTCCGGGTTTTTTCGACATTTTGGTTTTCCCCCTGTCACACCCTAGCTAGTTCATGCATTAGAGTGTTGCATCATGTTTATTCTTTCACCAGAAACCTGAAATGGGGATGACAGAACCCCCAGTCCCCTCTGAAACCAATTAGGGTTTACTAAAAACTTTTTCAATGAACCTGAAATGCCCTTCTAAAATGCCCATCATTTTTGTCTTGGTTCAGAACCTCTGCCAAAAGTGATGCACATTTTCCTAGGCCATCTTAGGGTTTTTGAATTAAATCATAAATATTTGAAATTGGGCATTTAAAATTATATAAAATATTTAAATGCTAAAATATCTCCAAACTAAAATGTTTCATGTTGGAAATAATCCAACTATGGACCAGGAGTAGTTTGGTGATTTTAGGAGTTGCCTAAGTATTTTTAATAAATCAACAAAGTTGCAGAAGTATTAAGAAATACAGAAAACAGAAAAAATGGAAAAACTTACCTGGCGCCAGCACCCGGCCCACCTGCCGGCCCAGCCCAGCGCCGCTCCAGCGAGCTGCTTGCCGGCCAGGCAGGCAGGCAGGTGCCCGACGGCGACCGCAGCGCGCGCCACGCACCTGCTCGCCGCCTCGCCGCTCCCCTCGCCTGGTGACGTCGTGGATCGGCCTCCCTCTCTCCCCCGAACCCCCCAGACACCCCCTCTCCTCTCCAGCTCCTCCCCCTCGCGCTCCCCCGCCATGACCGACGCCACCACCGCCGTGCCTACGTCGTAGCCGTGCTCCCCGCCGCCCGTGCGTCCTCTCATCGTGTCCAGGAGCTCCGCCGCTGTCCACTTCATCGAGCAAGCCGAGCCCCGAGCGCTCGCAACGCCCGAGTCCACCGCAACGACCTCGCCCGAACCGCCGTCGCCGGAGATCCCCTTCGACGCCGTCGTCACTCCGGTCCATCCCCGGCCGCAGCAAGGGCTTCGTCGCACTCACTATGAGCTTAGCCATCTTCCCCCCTTCTTTTCTTGCTCCCGAGCTGTGTAGCGACCTCCCGGAGCTCAACCGCACCCACCGCCGTGGAGCTCGTCGCCGACGTGCTCCCGGTCACCCTCCGACCACTCCACGGTGTCCATCATGCTCACCGCGTCACGTAGCACCTAGCTAGCTACTCCCCGCGCCTCACCGACCCCTCTAGCGTCAAGTTCGTCTTCGGCCGAACCCCGGTGGCCGCCAAAGTCGTCGCCGGCGCCAACTCCGGCCACCCCGACCCCAACGGACTCCACCAAGAGCTGCGGCTCGTCCTCAGCTCCACTCCGGTGGTCTCCGCGACCCATTTGGTGGCCGAAACGGCAAAAACCACTTCCGCCGCCGCGTCGGGCTCGCCGGCGGCTAAACGCCGGTGCAGCCGACCCGGGTTTGACCACGGGTGGGCCCTGGTTGACCCCCCCTGAGTCTATGACAGGTGGGGCCCAGCCCTGTTAATTAAACAGGTTTAGTTTTATTTAAACTTTAATTAAATTAATCACCCTGACACGCGGGACCCACTATGAGGTTTGACCCGGACGTGTTCCGTTGACCTGCTGACGTCACACTGACGTCAGGCTGACGCAATAATTGATTTTCTGGAATTAATCTAATATAGGAAATTCCAGAATATAGTTTAAACTTCAAAAATTCATAACTTTTATTCTGTAACTCCAAATCAGACAAATTATATATGAAAAATGATCAGAAAAATCCAATCTATCCATCTGTACTATTTTCATGCATGATTAAACAAGTTAACCTGATGTTTAATGCAGAACAAGGAAAAACACTTTAAAGGGCCATGTTTGAGTTTGAAATTTGAATCTTTGATTCAAATTGGTTCAAACCCTTTTGGTCTTAGTTGCATTAG